CTTTACTTGATGAAAATCCATATTATCTTAAATGAGTAAAACCAAATTTGATAGATTTTCACAAAACTTTTATTTTAATAATAAAATAAAAATTAAAAACACTACACATGACATGTTTCGAAGTACAACTTCTTTTTCTGTTTATTCCTTGTGCCCAAGCCATAAAAAAATGGTGTTAGTAAACTTAATTATTTTATTGTCATATTAAACTATTTTTTGTGTTATATACTTATTTTTGCGTAATAAACTGTGAATTCTCGTGTCAGTAAACTATTATTATCGTTTGTGTTAGTCGTCTAGAACTGATGTTAAAACATGGCAAATAAAATAAATAGTACTGCTAAAAAGTCAAGTAAAACAAAAACAAGGAGAGTAAATAAATATGTAATTTAAATAAAGCTGTATATTTTACAAACGAGTAAGTTGATACGTTACGATGTTGTGAAAATTATCTCATAAAATCTACAAAGTAAGTACCTATCGATATTTGAAAAATTCGATATGATTTTGCAATAATATCTTTCAGTTTTGAGCACAATTTATTTTGTTTTTTCAAAAGTTCTTTTTTTCTGGCTTTTTTCAAAAATGGTAATGTAATTTCTACAATTTGACATAAACGTACTTCGGTTATTTCATAATGAATGAGGCATTGCAGCTACCTGCCCTATGAAAGTTACGCCACTGCTCAACCTAAGTATACGAGTAGTAATGGTCTATTTTTGTATGCAAAATTTTTCGTCGCGAAGCATGCAATTTTAGTTTCTTGTCTTTTGTTGTGAAAACATGTTATACTTTTTTTTTAATTTTCACCAGATTATACAGCATCCAAATATTACTTACTCCTCAAAACTTTCGATAAAACAGATATACCATTAAAAATAATTGTAAAATCTGTTAAATTATCTTGGAATTCCATTAAACGTGAAATGAACCGTTCTGTATGAACGGAATGACGTGGGAAAGACCAAAAATAACGAGTAGAATTTTAATTTTTATCGAATATAAATTATTCAAATTAGAAAGAAATTACAAGTAAACCAACAAACAATTAACAAATTTAATCGATTTTTCACGTAGTTGGCCATGCTTTTTAGTTACGACCAAATCGATGATTTTATATTGGTCGATATTGTAAAAATCTTTGGAATTTTGAGTGGCATGGAATTGAATATTTAAAGAAGGTGAATAACATGCAGTTTCGATTAATCTAAATCTCCCACAAAACGTACTATTTACTGTTCTTTTGGAAAGACAATAATAGCTTGAGACCATGATTTTTTTATTATCTAAAAAAAATTATTTTAAAAATAGGAAACTTTTTTTATATCATTCATCTCAAATTTCTATAGTTATTTTCAGTTATCGATACTTACGTACATTATCTGTCATCTGAAAATATCCACTCAGATATTTTAACAATGTGCAAGTTTTTGTACTCCATATTTGATCTCCTTCGTGTCAGAAAATGATCTCAATTAAAGAGCTTAGTCGTGCATTGATTTCTGGTGATAGAATTATTGCCTTTAGATTTTGGAATGTTTTCTGTATTTCAGCATTAAAGATGTTATTAAGAAACAGGAAATTTATTATTTTCAACATTTTGAAACCATATATCCTTTCGAAACACTTAACTACCATTTTTAATTCATAAAAATACCATATAAAGAATAATAATCTAAACAAAAAACCCCGCATTCTTATGCTTAAGTCAACAATCTTTCCTAAAGATCAAAAAACAACATTTTGAACCATTCTCCTAAATCCTTAAGTCCACCTTAAGTCAAAACTACTTAGATAATACATTAAGATAGACCCAAATGTCTCTATTGTTATTCTTGATGCGACTCACTCTCTGCACTTCTGTGTAAATATAATCTTTGTGGCAGTCATCTTAGGTCCATCTTTACTTAAAAAAGGTTTTATGTTTTAAAGAAAAACATTTGTTTCTAGCCGGTATCTATCTAGGACGGAAAAAAAATAATGAAACAACTCGACAGCATCTAGAACTCACGTGTTAACTTTTATTTTTCTTAAAGCAATGAACCGTATATAATGTAACATTTAATATTAATCGCATCGATCTTAACTAAATAATAAATCGCAGAACAAAGATAGCGTTGTGACCAAGATCCAAGATTTACAATTGCTTTGTTTTTGTTTTAATTGTGCTCGCACACAACAAGCCCGCTTTGTTTTCTGCTAAACAATTGGAATAACCGCTTTTTAATTTTAATTGATGACTAGTACATTATACCGCAGATGGCACTGCATTTTATATGCAACAGTCATCAATTGAGGCCAAGCATAACCCAAATTGGTTAGATTGGTTGAATCAGTTGAAAATACATATACACGTGTTCTGAAAGCTGCAAAAGGATATAAATGTAAACTGAAAGTATACAGTATATTGTAAAAATGCATAAAAGAACATTATATCTAGTTAATTGTCTCAATGAATATTAAAAGAACATTTCAACGTGTTGATTGGCGGAGCATTGTTAACAATATTTACTATTGATTACAGAGTTTGAATGGACCAGAACCCTCTTGTGTTGTCATAAAGACAATGGTCAGAACATGCACAAAGCACTGAATGATAAACAAATCTCAAGAATGTTATAATATTTTACCAGGACATAACCAAAATAGGAGAAATATTAGATTGGTAGTAAATCTATTAACAGGGCATTCCAGGCTTAACAAACATATGTAACATGTTTATCATCGGTCTAGCGGAGATCTGTGAAAATTGAAATTCTTTAAATTTTGAGTAAAACAGCTAAGATTGAATAGCATGGATAGGAGATATACTTCTTCCTTGGTTAGACCAAACTAGAAAAAGTAATGCTCTAACCAATAGCTCTTTAAAGTCTGAGATGGGAGAAGCTTCATAGTCGTAACAAAGTCTACCTCCTCTTTTTGGTAGTGTCTATACCTATCCTCTTCAAGAAAGGATCGTTTCAAGTCCTGTTTTAATTTCAACTCAAGAATACCCAGTCCTGTTTAAAGGTCCTGGAAAGCTTTACAATTTATATGAGAGATGTGTCTTATATTCTTCCCTATGCCTTTATAGATGGAACCAATCTTTTTTTAAATCCACCGTGAAATCCACTTATACTCTCCCTTAGCTGAATTAAAAAAAATGTTATGCCGCATTTTATTGAACATCGATGCTATATGTTACTAAACATCAAAAAAATGTATTTGCGGGAATTTTCTGTTGTCAGATTTTGCTACTCCTTGTGTAGGGATTCCGACTACTTGACTGGATATATATTTTTTTAAACGACACTCGGGATGTAACTTAAACGAGTTTTTTTGAATATAAGATGATATTACGGTTATTTAATTGTGTCGGCGATTTTGCGAAAAGAGGTCTGTTTTTATAAATAGGTGTAAAATCGGACTCAAAAGTTAAAGATGTTTGAGTGCTATCATAATATTTGTATTTGTCTCAACTAAAAGTATTGTCCTTGCGGACATTTTTTATTTAGCAGTTTTATCCCATTCACCATAAATTAAAATATTTTAAACTTTTTCCGGTGGTGAATAAAATGCTGAACGGACAGGTCGTAAAATCCTTTTATGTATACCAATCCTTTCGCCGTCACAAAAATGCCTACACTATCATCTTAGGTTTAAGAAAACGGTTAACAAGTTATATCCCGAATATCTGATCTCGTGTCCTAAATCTCTACACCAGAAGTAGCCCAACCGGACGACAGAAAATGCCCACAAAGGCATTTTTTTATTGTTCTCGTCGTCTGGAAGAATACATAAAACTAAAAAACCAATGATACGCAACTTTACTTTGAATTTCCCAGGTATCATGACCGCTCCCACCACCAGGACATAGTACTACTTGTTCATCCCTTCCCTGCACCCAACTAAAAAAAGCGGACAAAAAATCGACGTGCCACTTCTTGCAATCAGCTGAGAGATTATTACTTCTATTCTTTCCAATTATTCTTTTTGTCTTCTTTTAAAACGTAACCTATGGGAATATATTATTCATTATATTCTCTTGAATGTTTGTTGTATGGTAAACATTTGAAAATATTTAAATTTATAAAATAGTTTTACGCCAGAATAAAATGAAATGAGCAAATTTTCTAAAATTAGTTATTATTGTATAACGCGTCTATCGCAATGTGTTGAATTAATTAAATATAGTTGACTTTTTATAAACTATTATTACAAAAAAATATCGATCCTTGATACTAAAATTCAATTGACTTCGAGTTATACAGAGACTCTCAACAAACTGGTGAAACCAGGTTCTTGATCTGGCCTGTTACACAAGAGCTTTTATAGCCACATATGGTTAGGATTAAGAACAGCCAGTGTTTTTATTTTTACTTAGCAGATCGTATCTCTAACCTCTTCAAAAATAATATAACTAAACATTGATAAATATTATTTACAATGTAATAAAAATGAATGCATAATAACTTATTGCTTTTTTGGTAAATATTCTGTCAATCGTGTAACCAAGTATACGTATTAGCTATAAGTTATTTTCAAATACTATTTAGCACCTCGTTAGACGTATTTCATTTTGAAATTATGAGAATCATTATAGATGATGCATTTTAAACACACTTGTTTTAATCGTTGTTTAGCTTGGGTATCCGTATACCCCTGGGATAGCTGCAGGATGATATCCGTTCCCAGAAAAGATATATCGGTTGTGGCCGATGAAATATACAAAGGGTTGAGTCTCACGAGAGTAAATGTGTCATCAATACGGATGAAGTTGTTTTGAATCCCATGTGTTCGAGTGGTTTTATATAAAGACCCGATATGCCTTCACTGTGCGCGACTGTGGCAAGTGCGTTTCATTATAAGTACGATAGTGTCTTTTTAACGACATGGGAACTTACAATACGTCCAATTATTTTAAACAACATTATAAAGAGGGATACCTTAATATCCATATATTAAATGTCCTAGGTACTACACATCTATATAAAAACAAATTATTATACAATTTTACTTACTTGCAAAAACTATCTTCTTTTGGAGGTGAGAAACACGTGCCACCATTTTTGCATGGACTAGGTGAACACGATAGAATAACACCTAGAACAAAAATAATAATGATAGAAGTAGAAAATAAATTTTGTTTGAAACAATAAATAATATACAAGAAACACACGAAAGTAAATTTTATCGATAAAATTTTTAGTTTCCACGAAAAGTCTTTATCTTAAAACGGTTTGTTCGAGTGGTTTTGCTTGAAATAAAATCGTTTGAGTATGAAAACACAAAATTTGAAAGGACGAGCGTTATTTGAAAAGATTATTTTTTGCATGAACAACATATTTCGAGTAGGTAATAATCTAAAAGTGTTTATTAAGCATTTTATAAAGTTGTTAATTTTATAATAATATAATTTCCTTTAATAGTCTAAAAAAATGGATATGGCAACGATGCATTACATCAACAGTTATAAGAGCTGATCATGCGCATAACCACTGCGACATAAAGTTGATTTATTTTCACTTCCGATTTCCGATTCTGACACCGTGGTATCAACACTGGAATGGCGGTGTCAGTGTCGGGAGTCAAGTGTGAATGTCTCCGTAAAAATCTTCAACAAGAATAGTCATCGAAAAGTGAATATTGTCTGATGTGATTAGTTAATTAGTAGCAAGAACGGTGTGTCAAATTTTTTTCTATCTGAAAATTATAAATTGTCACATGGTGTGATGTGCATCCTGTGACGAAAAAAGAAATTCCTTTAAAATATCCACCTTTTATATAAAAAACTCCAATACAATTACCCTAGGCCGAATAGCCCTGGCAGCTGAGGCCTATAAAAATTGAATTGAAGAAGAAGAAGAAGAAGAAGAAGAAGAAGAAGAAGAAGAAGAAGAAGAAGAAGAAGAAGAACAAGAAGAACAAGAAGTTGATTATTTGACATTTGCCAGATTTTAAAATTCTTATTGTGATTTATGTGTCTTAAACTTGATCTGTTTAATTTCAGTTAATTTAAAATTGTTTAGATATTTAAAAAATGACGTTTAATGGTTAAAAATTGAGTGTTGATGTAGGTTAGGTTGTTGTAAGTGATTTAACATAAACAAAAACAGGTTAGTTTTACTTAGGGCCAGTCTTTTCACCTCTGAGTATAGTTAAAAGTAACTACTTGTTGATTAAACTATAGGGCTATTGTGTGTTAATCTGTCAAGTAACTTCACTCAGAGGTGAAAAGATCGGCCCTTAAAAATATTACCGATTTCAATTTTGTGCAATAGAATTAACAATAATTTTTTGAAATTTAGATTTGAGGTACATTTTACTGTAATAAAAGTATTTAATTATGTTGTGTCAGTTCAAAAGATAAACATTGTTTTATCAAAAAAACAAAAACGAAGAAACGGTTTAATCAGTGTAAAAGTCAATGATTGGCTAAGATTGCGAGCTCTTATTGGCTGAAATCACAAAATTTTACAAAGTCGAATAAATAAAAAGCTAAAATCAGTAAAAATTGTTATTTGTAGATGATTTTTTGAAATTTGGAATAAGTATCTTTAAGTTTTTAAACTTTGAAGTATTACTTGACCCAAGAATTTAAAGAAATTGTGCCACGGGATATATTCGTGTAATGTACAATATACAGGGTGTTAGTAGTTATATTCGATCAAGGCGCTCTACCCCAGAGAGCTCTCGTTCATTGATGAAATTTGATATAGGAACATGGACCCTTAAAGAATTTAGTTAACCGAGATACAATGTGTTAGAAGTTTTAAATCAAAATTTGTCATAAATCAAAAATGCCATTAAATATTTTTTTCAAATTTGGTGACCAAGTAATATTTTGAAATAACTAAATTTTCCCCCTATTTTTAACGCCACTGGAACAAACACTTTTTTAATTATTTTTTTTTAATTTTCTATTTATTTTTAGTTAAAAAGGTAAGATCCTTTTATGGAGTTAAAATAAACGGTTTTGCATTAATTTGTTTCTAAATAAAAGTCTGCATGTACTTAGATGATTTGTAACGATTCAATATTTCTAAATTCTAATCTAGTAAGCACGTGTCAAATTTTTAATAGTTCGTGTATTTGACAAGATCTTGCTACCTAGGTCAAATTTGAAAATATATTTAAAGATGTTTTTGATTTATGGCAAATTTTGAATTTTGAATTAAAACTTAAATCGCTAAGCTCTTTAAGGGTTCATGTTCCTATATCAAAATAATAATCGCCATCGTTTTTCTTTGGCAAAAAAACACGCCCGGCACCAGGTAAAAATTCACCTTCATATCCTGCATGAACAATAACGGAACATGGACCTCTTTGTGTAGGTGCTTTGAAGCCTGTGGTTAAACCCTTTATAAAAGCATCTCTACGATTTTTTATGCTGTTATCACATCATGCATAGTTAACTATTTGACCCACGTTGACCCAAGTCTCATCTAAATAGATAACGTTACAATTTTGTTGGCGATATTATTTGAGGGCTCTTAAATACCTATGCCGTTTCGTTCTAACATTATACTTTTACGACCACGCTTCAAATATTTTTCATCAATTTACTGGGGTTCTTAAAGAGAACGATGGTTTCTTCCCCGAGCTCTTCCTTACTAGAATGTGGCCTGAATCTTTTTTTTGCAGTAAAGGTTACGGTTCTTAATATAATATTATGAGAAAGTCTAAAAATCACAAATTTGTGGATTGCTTCCTTTCTGCAGATAGTCGTCCAATTAGACATCAAGAAGGACAAACGGTTCTCATATATAAACCAAGAATACATGCTCTAATAACATTGACTACTACTGGACGTACCCTGTCACAGCTATCGGAAAGACGGCAACACAGTGTGCCGGGTCGCATATTTACACATCCTCCTATATGACGACACCTGGGTGCTGAAATCTGTTAGCCTCTGTGGCCTACAATTGCGCAACAAAAGCTCATTGATTTAGACACCCATACAAATTTTATGTTATGTGGGACTTTTCTTTTCAATTTGAGCTGGGTCCAGGCCGTTGGAGTCTATGCCGGTCGGCGTAGCCAGGTATGGGTTGATGTTTTTTGGTGGCGGCGATGCCGCCACCCTACGAGAAGTCGTTGCTTCGTTTTCTTCTTTTATATATATATTTTTTTTAATCCCAAAACACTTCAAATGCGTCTTTTGAATGACATCATGTCTATTAACGGGATTTTAGTACACGACCGTTTAACGACAGTTTAAGTACAGTCATTGTTTTATAGGTTGCAGATAAGTTTGCTTACTGATTCCAGCAGAAAGAAACACCTCATGCATTGGTGCCTAAATCAATGAGCTTTTGTAGCGTAATTGTAGCCACAAAGGCTAACAAATTGCAGCACCTTAGTGCCGTCGTATAGGAGAGTGTGTAAATATGCTGCCGGGCCATACTGCATTCTCAGTGTGTTCCGGAAATGTGGATCATATTATGGGGGACTGAGAACGATTCTAACAACTTCGCTGTTATAATTTTATACTGATTTTTCTGGTTGATAATAATAGATCCATGTATATTTCCGAAACGTAAAAAACAGTTTTAAAACTCTGGAAGCGCAAACGTGTTTATTTAAAAGCAACAAATCATGAGGACAAATTATTTATTTAAAAATGTTTACCGATAATAACATCAACAAGGCTACTGTCATCATTCTGAAAAAAGTGCAGACTTCTCACTACCATACCTATAACATAAATTATCAAACATCCCTCGTATAAAGATACCAGGTCAAACATTTTGTTGTATCCAATCACCCATATTCCCAAATAATGAATTTTAAAATTTGAATAATTTTGTTTTTATAAAATAGAAAGTTACGCGATCTCATTTAATTTAATTTATATTCTCATTAATATACATTAAAAAGTATACGTGGGAATTTTCTTCATACGCTTTAAATGACAACCTAATTTTCATTGTTTTACATTTTTACTTACGTAAGTCTGAACTAGAGAATATATTAATTAATACTTTTTTAATTAAGGCTTGTTGTTAGGTAAGTACACATATATAAATACTTTAACGGTACCTTTATACCTTTTTGAAATATATGCATTAAAATATATTCAAATACCTGCATCTTTAGAACCACTTTTCACACAAATTATCCACCCCGTCATATAATATTACAATAAATATTAATAACAAAATATAATAATTTGTAATAACAATAAAACAGTATTTACCGTGCTGGGGCTGTGGGCAACTTAAAGATGATGATTGATGTTACCATTTAACATACACGTGAGGAAAACCCGGAAAACTATTTGTCTAGCTCAGAAAACATTAGAAAGTAGATTAGGAGAATTAGAGTCAAATCAAATATTAATTTCCGAAATGTCTGAAAAATTTGAAGTAAGACTGGCATATACCTTGATACCGTCAATGGATGGTACTAAAAATAATATAAACAAAACTTTTGTTTTAAAAACGCGACTTTCAGAAAGTGCAAAAATTAGATTTTAAGCTCGTTCCGCACATTTACAAACGTCATGTTTTGCACATTCAAATTGTTATTCTAAGTCGGCTTCGCAGTCAACGTGTTAAGCCTGTCCATATGTGATCCATTCATCCATGTTCAATAAAAATATTTTCCTATTTATACCTTAAGTCTGTCCTTTAACTGTCATTTATCCCTTAAATCTCCCATATCAAAATATTTAGTTCCTTTGCCACTTAAGCTTACCCATATAAAAATAGATTGGACCCTTTAAACCCCCATGTCTATCCAAGTAAAAATATGTCTCCCCATTATCCTGTACGCCTGCCGATACAAATATATTTGCCCCTTTACCCCTTAATCTCGCCTTTAGGAATATATTTAAAATATATTACCCCTTAAGCCTAACCACATACAAATATTATTTGAGTAATTTATCTTTTTAATCCTAATATCAAATTCAGATACGAGTTATATTCTGGTGTTTCATTAAAGATGGTACATCGCTATTTTTCATCATACTACCTATCTTATTCGCATAAGACCCACATTTATTTCATATTAAAAACTATTATTTTTACTATTTCATTTTAACTTACAATAAATAGGTAACTACTGAATTGAAAATTAAATAAATAAAATATTTT